CAGAGGATGTCATTTTTGAACTTAGCATGAATATGTTAAGTTCAAACTGAAGAGCAGCAGGAAAGGACAGGGCATTAAAAAACAGAACTCTGCACATAACAGCCTAAGGTCATAAAGGATGGGAAGCATTTGAGAAACATGTGCAGTATGATTATATATTTTTTTACTTAAAAAATGTGCATAAATTATATGAAAAGTAAACATATACAACTCAGGTATATCATAATTTAAATTTTTAATCATTATTACCAACCATCTCGTTAAGCAACATTCACAAATGTACTTACTTATAATAGTGTTCCCAGAGATTTCTGTATCTTCCTTGACCTGACATGTCAAACACTGTAAAAGATAAACTACAAAAAGAAAAAAGTACAAAGCATGACTATATTATGACCTACTGAGCTTAAAGTACAACTTTTACTTAAAATGTTACATTCTTTTCCATCAAGGAAATCAACCTTGATATACAATATTGAATGTGGGCCAATTTTCAAGTAAAGCTTTCATAAATGGATTTATTAATGTAAATAGATCTTTCAATATATAACATAAAAAGACATTTACTAGTGTGGTTAGCAGAGTTTGTCTACACCCTAAATTCTTTAAAATAAACCAGAGGTAGCAGTGTAAATACGTTAACACCTATAGGCTTCTGAAACAACAATTTACTTTTTCTAAGAGTAGGAGGAATGACTGAGTAGATCTAATATTGTTATTTTTCACCCACAAACAGGCATAAAGTAAATTACCTGGATGATTTGAATTTCTCTATGCTGAATCCTATTGTTGGAACTATATCTTGAGATTGAGCCTTTAAGAGAAAAGACAAAGCTTAGAAATTTGCTCTTCTCAGAGTTGAATTTTTCCTCAAGTTAAATAAAAAGTGTTTGAATTTCCATTTCTAAAACCTGCTGCTAAGGATATGAAAGGATTAAATACAATTACCATTTTTGCAATAGGATCACTGTGAAAATTCCTTATAGAGGTTTAAGGTTTACTAATTAAGCATCTGTATAATGTGTATACATTATATATTTTTGTGACTTGATACAAGTTACCAAGGACTCAACGTTTTTATAAGTGGTTTAATAAGTGGAGTTCACACGCAAGACTTTCTAATTTTTCAACACATACAGAGTTGATATGTTTAAGACTGCTTCATGTCTAGATGGTCCCTACTCTTACAGAGTTTATTATCAAGAGGAAGTAAACAGTAATAAAAAAAAGTAAAAAATGAACAAAGTTTGGGGCA